TTTTACCTTTTAATACGATATTAAATACGATTGTTAAATACTTATAAATGCAACTATTATATTATATCAATGTTATACAAACCGTTACTGTATGAATATAATACCGTATAATATACGTATGGTAGACAGAACTATTTCGTATAGAATAATAATAATATTGTATAATATTATACGATGTATTTGACATATATGTATATGTAAAAATTTGTATACGTACATATACGAATTATACATATATCAAGTATAGATATATATGTGTATATATATATAGTCCATATAATGTATATAGCAGAGTGGAGCGTAGTGAGAGACATAGGCGAGGCAAAGCTTCATCCTTTTATTTTCGTTCGGATTCAAGAGACTAGAGACTCATCTCTGATGATTCCGCCGTCGTTTAGGCGGAACTAGCACGCTTTGATGAGAGCTACGGTTCTGCGAAGTTTCGTCAAAGCCGTCAATCAAAATATTCATATATTACATACATTAATTAACTAAATGGTCGTTCAACTTTTTCCAAATCTATTTACATTGTACAATGTAACTATTTACACGAATCATCTATCTATTCGATCTTGAAGCTCTCAACAGTTGACACTCCCCCCTCCACGTAAACCAGGTCCGGGAAACTGGCGCTCATCGAGCACAGCCGACGCTGTGTCTTTACAACTTCAATAATTATAAATTGAAAAATTTGGAACGCGTCAGACCGGCGCCTGAACCTAGTGTTGAGCGCAAGAACTCGTATTTCCTTCACAGGCTTGTGCGAGTCACGGTAGTGGAGGTTGGAACTCGAGCGTCTCCTGCTCGAGAGTCGCCACGCAAGGAGTGGGGGCAGGTGACGCATGCGCGGGAGTCGCGCACGGCAGCGTGGCTGCTGATCGTAGTTCAGCATTATAATGTTCACTTGGTAGACGTCCTACGCTGCTGTCCGGACTCCCTGCGCATGCGTCGCCACCCCACTCCTTGCGTAGTGACTTTTCGTGACTGCAGACTCTATGAGCACCAGTTTCCCAGGCCTGACGCCAGCTATAGCATTAAATGAGAATTTCCTAGCATTCAGTAGCCCGTGGACTACGTCTCAGCAAGATTTCGCCAAGCCACGACTGCAGCTAACAATTCGACTCTGCGAATCCTGTTCGGTTGTTAGGCCGCGATAGACGGCGGAACCGCGGAGTCAGTCTCTTAAACCAGAACCACAGGTTGCTGTCGTTGGATTGGTCATGAACTGACTTACTCAGTGGCTTTGGCAAAGGGCATTCCAATGAAGGTAGGGCTCAGTGTTTCGGTGTACATCTCCATTCCGGTTCCACGCAGGTAGTCATTCAGCCAAGCCTGCATATCGGGCGACTGGTACCAATCAACCAACCATTTCTAAATCACACGCGCTCCTATGCATGTACGGTACTCGCGTCACATTGTCCACAGTGAAGAACGGCCGCGCCTGATCCGTTTTCGCCCGGGCGATATAACACGCGACACCCCCCCGCCCCTTCCCAAAAAATTGTGACAGATCGGCAAGACGGAACAACGTGACGTAACGGAGAGGAGAAATCTCCTGACACGGGGACGTTACGGAGAGAGAGAGAGCTGACACGGGCTCTGCCGAGGCTTAAAAATCGTCGAGGGGAAAGAAAAAGTCGCACGCGATCACTGTGAACTGCTCGACCATGACAAAAACCCTAAGGAACATTGTGTTCACACATGCATAGATGAGAGAGGTGAGGTGGGGCGGATCGATCGCCGTCGTTTTTACTGACCGTCTTGAACGACCGCATCGCGAACAGATTCGCCATCATCGTGCTGAAACCCGGTGCCAGGCAGGACTGCGCGATGAAACCCAGCTTCAACTCGGCGAGGCAGATTACGTCGTCGCCCTGTTTCCAGTCCCATGATGGAATGTTTAATAAGTAGGCCTGCAACAAAGTTACCTCGCGCTGATAAAACTTGCAACGGCCGTGCGGCATCTCGTCGGCGACGGGTTTCTTTGTGCGCCGATGCCCGGGGAAGCCATTTTGTGGCACGGTGAATTCTTTCGGGGCTCTTAGTTGACGGTCGTGTTTTTGGAGATTTATTGAAAGCTTGGGGAACGATAACTTAAACCGTCTTGATATCGCGTGTATCATGCTATAGTATATGTCGAATTGAAGAAAAGTGTTGACATCGACCAGGAAGACGAAAATTCCAATCTATAAATTTCAGTATTTCGTGAACAAATTCGAATGCAACCGAATTGCGAACAAAGGTGACTAAGTTTGCCAGTGTTATGCTATAGTGTGTGTCAGTTGGCACATGAGCGTTGACATCGATTAGGACGACAAAAATTGCAATTTGTAAACTGTAGTATTTTATAAGCAAATCGAAACTGATGAAATTGTAAATTATAAAGGCTCTCTACTTGTGCGAGTATTATGCTATAGTATGTGTTATTTTAAACAAAATCATTGACAACGACCAGGAAAACAAAAATTTCGATCTATAAATTTCAGTATTTCGTGAACAAATTCGAATGTAATCGAATCATGAATATAAGTAACTAATTTAGCCAGCGTTATGCTATAGTATGTTTCAGTTTACACATAAACGTTGACATCGACCAGGACGATAAAAATTGCAATTTGTAAACTCTGGTATTTTACAAGCAAATTCGAAACTGATGAAATTGTGAATTATAAAGCTTCTCTACTTTTGCGAGTATTATGCTATAGTATGTGTTACTTTAAACAAAATCATTGACATCGACCAGGAAGATAACGACTGCAATATATAAACTCGAAAACTTTGTAAGTAAATTAAAGGCTATTAAAATTTACTAATTAAAGGCTTTCTAGTTCTGCAAGTATTATACTATAGTATGTGTTATTTTGGACAAAATCATTGGCATCGATTAAGAAATTAATAGTTTTTGAGAAGACAACAATTGCAATGTTCGGACTCCTATACTTTATAGACAAATTCGAAATTCATGAAATGATGGCTTAAACAGCCACTAACATCTTGTATATTATGCTATAGTATATGTCACTTTAAACAAAATCATTGGTACTGGACAGGAAGAGAAAACAAATTCGAAATTGATCAAATGATGAATCAAAATCCTCTTAATTTCCCATTTTAATAAATTATGCTATAGTATGTGCCAATTTAAACAATTCATTGCCATCGACCAGAAAAATAAAAATTGCAATGTGCAAATTCCAGTATTTTTAAAGCAAATTCGAAACTGTTGAAAAACTGACTTAAGATCCCCTAATTTCGTGAGCATTATACTATATTATGTGTCAATTTATATAGACGAAATCATCGTCATCGATTCGAAAGAAAATGATTGCAGTATTTTAATTTCTGCATAATTTATAAGCAAATTCGAAAATGATGAAATGTTGAATCCTTCTAATTTCAGGTGAATTATACTATAACATGCTACATTTTTAAAAAGAACACTGCCATCGATTGCAAAATACATATAAACATGGTCTTTATAAATTCAGGAATTAAATTTATCAAATATTTAAATGTGTAAAAATCAGTTTACAAAATGATTTCACAAAAATCATTACACAAATCATTAACTGAGTGTCAAGTGGATGGCTTTGTCAAAATAACAAGCAAATGGAGAGAAAATCAAACTCGAATTTAACGTAGAGTGTAGAGTCGCTATTTAGAAACCAAATTATTAAGCAATCGTCAAGTCAGTGTTAAGTCGATGACTTTATCAAGAATCAACTGAAGAGAAAATAATACAGAATTAACAGAAATTCTGTAATCTATTTATTACATTAATAATTAGACTGCGAATTTGATGCATTCGTGACAGAAATGTGCATCTGTAATTTGAAACAGTAGAAGCACTGATGAAACCGCTCAATAATGTCAATAAAACTACTTTCGATCTATTAAATTTATTTTAAAAAAAAAGTGCAACTTCTAAGTGGCTCATATTTTTTCGCATCAAATGCAGAAAATTGTTACATCGCATGAAGATCCGCAGTCCAGCGATAAATATAATGTTGCTGATAATACCTTGTTGTGATATTGCATTAATTGAATGATAACGCGAATGTCGTCCGAGTAGTTCTTGATGGAGATGACGCGCATGATGTTCGCCGCGTCCTCTGCGTCTGGATCTTGACAGTACTTGTTCGCCAGCACCAAGCACGCGTCCGCTTCGTGTACCTAAAACCGATCGCCAGTCTTTGTTCCATTTGTCGCGCACGACAATTAATTAACGGAGTGTCAAAAATGTAGTCTGGGTCGGGACGGGAGTCAGAAAGCAGCGAACCGAAATCATTGTTCTCGGGCAAATCTCGGAAAACAAAGTGGCGGAAAAATCGTTTTGGAACTGCGAAAGGCACACTGTTGTCCGCGGATATCCGAAGGCATAGCAATTTAAGACGCGCTACTACGTGCTGACGATATTTATCTTTTAATAGTTTACTTAAGAAGACGTACCAAGACAATTAAGATTAATTTATTAATTAATTAATGAATACTTCTAATTTGTTCATAAAATACAGGTTGGCAGTTCTGACAATCTTTTGCAAACAAACACTTATGTGGAAACTAATGAATTTTTCTCGAAGCAACTATTTGTCGCAGTTTGTTGCAGCTTTTTTACCACAACCGGAAGGGTTAGGTCTGTTATCAAAACAATTTTTTATTTATATTGAATATTATTTTAAATATTACTATTAATATTATTTTAGAATATTATTTAAAAACATTATGCTCACAATTTTTGAGGACAATTAGAAAAACTTTCTATTCAGGAACTCAAGTGAATTTGTTTATAATTTTCAATAATACAGATCTCATTTTTCAGTGAGGTAAAATTTGTAGCTGCAGCCAGAACCTTCTCGATTCGAGTAGAAATAGTATCGTCTCATTTCAGCAAGTAGTTTTTGGGAAAATAATTCGTAAGTATCGCTTCGTTCGTAGAAATGTTCGTGATATTAAAGAAAAGTTGACGAATTTCGGAGTCTGTGTTTCGTAAACAAATTCAAATTCGACAAAGCGATGACTTAAACTGCCCCTAATTTTGCGAACACTCTGCTACGAAGTGTTCGATTTCGACCAGGGTCTCGGACATCGATCGCAAACATCGGTGGTTCAATGATCCTGGATACGTTCGGACGACAGTGCGCATTTCAAATTTGGAATTGTGGCGAGACTTTCGAAGCTTCGTCTGCCCTAAACGGCGTCACGTTACGGCGGGATACTCGACTCTAAACGAAATAACGGAGCAGTAACAATGACGTTTGAATATGTAATGGCGCGAAGTATGAAAAACTCCACTGAGAACGAATATATTCTGAGGAATGCGAGCTATGTGTCAAGAATTCGTTAAAAAGCGTTGTTACTAGGCGAATCTCTAGTAGGCTTTGCGGGTATGCAGAAACAAAATGGCGATGCGTGTCGCCTGATCATGCCTTCAGGAATACAATTTCCGAATCGGAGCTCTTTGTTCTACTTGAAATTTTCAACCGGAAGCTAACGCAATTCAAGTTTCATCGATCATTCATCGTTGGTGAATCATTTAACGTTTCTTTTCTCCACGCTTTCCGCGACACACGCCGCCAGAAAATCTTTCCCAACAACAACAACAAAGTGTAAAAAGCGAGATCTAATTGCATTCCTTAGGTAGACAAACGTCGTCTAGACGCGGAACCGGCAAAACTCGAAGCTCTGCCAACATGCCCATCAACTGTCCTCTAATCAGACCTACGTTTGATCAATGCGAAAGAGTATGTTCTACGTAAACAGCCAAGACAACGTACCGTTTATATACGTTTCAACGCAGGTTTCGCGGGATGTCTAGAACAATTAACGGTTTCAAGCGATTCCACGTGTAAAAAATTAGTCGAAATAGAGGAGTCCGGAGACTCGTGTCCGTGTTTTCCTGTTCCGAAGAAACCGAGCGCACACTTTCGTTTTCGTTCGAGGCTTTCGACTGATTTTTTCAAGCGGAATTTTTCTTATTTTCTTACTGCATCCCCAGTTAAATGACACCATGTATGTACAGGATGTACCGGAAATCGTGGAACGCTTTCGTTCCGCTGGCAACTTCTCGAGCGAAAGCGAGCTGGCCATGAAAAGTCGTTCAGTATTGTATAAAGCACGTTATTTAATTACTGTAATATATTCTATATTCTATGTAATATATTCTAAATATTGACGATATAATTATATAATCTATAATTATATAATTATATAATTATATAATCTTAATATATAATGATATAATTATATAATAGTATTACGCAATACTGAACAACCTGAACTTCGATTCACGCGAAGTTGTCTCGTACGACAGCGGACAGTACAGTGCTGCCACCAACGGTGGTAGAAATTTGTCATTGAAGACATCGCGTTGCTTAAAAATATCAAATTTTGTTTAATGAAACTCACACCGTAGAGATTATATTATTTAAAATATAGTATAATAAAAATGTCTTTTTTTCCTTTTTTTAGAGAAAAATTCAATTTCATAAGACCTTGCAGCTGTCATTAAGACTGTCATGAAAACTCCAACATGCTACAACATTACTGTTAACAATTCTTAAACAATATTCGCAGGATTATTAAACAAGAGTATGTAATTTAATATATAATCCTTATATTTATATTTGCACGATACTTGAAAATTGAACTAGAAATCGCTCAAAATAACTAGAAATTATTATTAACTATCGAACTAAAAAATTGCTTGCAATAATTATTTTATATATATATTAGCATCTGCATTGAACAATAAATTTTATTGCAAATAAATCCTTGAATTGTTTCAGAAATTCTGTTTGGTAAAGCTTTCAATAAAATTTGTTTCTTCGTTTTTGTTATTGCGTCCGTTTTCACTCTACTTTCGAAGGAGGAGTTGCCACGATTTTCAGGGGCACCCTGTACATAACAGGGAACCATTGCTCACTGTCGCATAGTAATCTAGGTCTCTACCGAAGGAAAACTACTACGAACGACTAATCGTTCAAACTAGTCCTTCAGCAAGCACATACCCACCTGGATCGACAGCAGGCATGGATCTATCCGATAGGTACAAACAACCTTTCGAGGGGCTTTTTTTCAACACGAGTTACCATACCAGAATGTGTACACATGTGTGTCTATGTCGACACGTGTTGGTAAAGACTGGGAATGTGTTTCACATTGCAACGGGTCACAAAGTTTTGCGACTGCAGTTAACTAAACTGTGCCAAATCGATCGATCTCTGCAGCGCGTCCTCTACGTTCGGGCCACTTTGTTCAAAAATCCTCCAGATAGCACGTGCGAGATAAGAGGTCTTTCAAAGCTTCCTCTTCATTTTTATTAACTATTACTAGAACTAGAATTTGCAAAGAAAGGCTTCCTTTAAAGAAATTCGAAACCAACAAAGTGATGATTTAATCCCCCCCTCTCCCCTCCCTCATTTCGTATAATATGGGTGAATGAACAAAATTTATCTAAAATAGCAAACCATTCTTGATTCAAATAAAAAAAGAATCAACTCGATGTGACAAATAGTTTCCGAGAAAAAAATTCATAAGTATTACCTTATTTATAGAAATATTTGCGATGGTAGATAAAAATTGAAGAATTTTAAAGTTTGTACTTTGTGAACAAATTCGAATTCAATAAAGTGATAATTTAAACCCTCTCCCCTGCCTCATTTTGCATAAACAAAAAAATTCAACAAAATTCAAATTGCAACAAAATCTCTGACACAGACTGTACAAAATTTGCAAAATTTCTTCCCCCACTTCATTAGCAAAATTTCATGTTTAGAGATCCACATGTATTTGTTTGTTTTTGTTTACTTTTACAAAGTTAACGTGCCAGTGGACAAAATTGATTTATAATACACGAAACATTCGTGATGAAAATGAATAAAGATGAATAAAGAACTAAATCTTGTCTCTGAGAAAAAATTCATAAGTACAGCCTTGTTCACAAAAAATATTCTTTCATGATAATACGAATAATAATAATAATAATAATAATAATAATAATAATAATAATAATAATAATAATAATAATAATAAATAAAATTCGGAAGCTATATATATGTTCTCGGTTCTCGGAAAATTCGTAGGAAACGTAAACAAACACCCACGACCAGACCAGGGTCGAAACGTAGTGTCTAGAGCCCTGCAGTATAATGTTTTGTAAACAAATTAAAATTCAACAAAGAGCGATGACTTAAACGCCGCCTAAGTTTGCATGTATTATACTATAGGATACTTAACTGTGATCAGAGTGGACTGTTTTCATGTAAATAAACAAAAATTCGAAACTCGATATTTTACAAACAACGTCGAATGCATTAAAGCGATTTATTTAGAATAATCGTAGAATATTCATTTCTGACATTTTGAGAATATTTTGATTTTCGAAAATAGCAGGCATTGGCTGCAAGATTGACTAATTGATAGATCGACATAAATTGGCCCATTAATGAAAACAGTGAGTTCCATTTGATTTCAAGTCCTTGACGTCGACTGCAGAAGGTGATCGATTTGGCAAATTGTGGAACGACCCGTCTTGCAGAGGTGCTCCTGGGTATCTTCGGGCGCACCAAATCGCGTAATCGTTTGATCCCGGCCGCCCACAATGGGTCGCATGTAATCGATTCGACACGAATGATTCGTTTCGGACTGATGAGACACGAAAGCGTATGACAGCATAGGAAATGCGTCAAAGGGGTTCCACGAGACATCCTCAATGTGCATAGAAGGTAACACACAAGCAACAACCATCCTGGAATAACAGCGTCCGTTCTGTTTGCGCAACCGAGCTGACTACCGGTCGTTCGCAGCAGCAGCTATGACAGTCTCTTCGAATTCAACGTATATATACAGTGATCCGTACGATTTCATCTCATTGTTACATTTATTAATCGTTCATTGCGGTAAGCATTTTAGTCAATAAAATCCAGGGATTTAATTACTGTTAATTTCTGGACAGAAAATAATGCTGCAGGTTAGTCACAGAAGTTCTCTTTGTGTACGAACACTTTTCTGGGACACACTGTACATATTGTTTTTGGGCTATTTGTATAGATCATTTGAAGATCGATATAATACACATTGATGGATATGTTCTTTTTACAATTTTAACATTGCACTAAATAATATATGTCGTTCTCCCGTTCACAAAAAATGACCTTGAAATATAGATGGCTGACCTTGAGGGGGATATGAAATAAAATGCTCTCTGTTACTGTAATTGCTTCACAAAAGGAAATAACTTTTACGTATCGTCAGAAACAATTCTGAATTAATTAAACCAATTCGTTCTAAACCGTTCTTAATTAAACCAATGAATAATCCCACGTTTAGGATAAAGACTGGATAATTAACCTCTACAAAATTCTAGATTCTCTCCTAAATATTTATTGACTCTCGTGCATTTATTGATTCTCCCGGATTTTCATATATGAAATATTATCGACGAAAACTAAGCAATCNCGAATAATAATAATAATAATAATAATAATAATAATAATAATAATAATAATAATAATAATAATAATAAATAAAATTCGGAAGCTATATATATGTTCTCGGTTCTCGGAAAATTCGTAGGAAACGTAAACAAACACCCACGACCAGACCAGGGTCGAAACGTAGTGTCTAGAGCCCTGCAGTATAATGTTTTGTAAACAAATTAAAATTCAACAAAGAGCGATGACTTAAACGCCGCCTAAGTTTGCATGTATTATACTATAGGATACTTAACTGTGATCAGAGTGGACTGTTTTCATGTAAATAAACAAAAATTCGAAACTCGATATTTTACAAACAACGTCGAATGCATTAAAGCGATTTATTTAGAATAATCGTAGAATATTCATTTCTGACATTTTGAGAATATTTTGATTTTCGAAAATAGCAGGCATTGGCTGCAAGATTGACTAATTGATAGATCGACATAAATTGGCCCATTAATGAAAACAGTGAGTTCCATTTGATTTCAAGTCCTTGACGTCGACTGCAGAAGGTGATCGATTTGGCAAATTGTGGAACGACCCGTCTTGCAGAGGTGCTCCTGGGTATCTTCGGGCGCACCAAATCGCGTAATCGTTTGATCCCGGCCGCCCACAATGGGTCGCATGTAATCGATTCGACACGAATGATTCGTTTCGGACTGATGAGACACGAAAGCGTATGACAGCATAGGAAATGCGTCAAAGGGGTTCCACGAGACATCCTCAATGTGCATAGAAGGTAACACACAAGCAACAACCATCCTGGAATAACAGCGTCCGTTCTGTTTGCGCAACCGAGCTGACTACCGGTCGTTCGCAGCAGCAGCTATGACAGTCTCTTCGAATTCAACGTATATATACAGTGATCCGTACGATTTCATCTCATTGTTACATTTATTAATCGTTCATTGCGGTAAGCATTTTAGTCAATAAAATCCAGGGATTTAATTACTGTTAATTTCTGGACAGAAAATAATGCTGCAGGTTAGTCACAGAAGTTCTCTTTGTGTACGAACACTTTTCTGGGACACACTGTACATATTGTTTTTGGGCTATTTGTATAGATCATTTGAAGATCGATATAATACACATTGATGGATATGTTCTTTTTACAATTTTAACATTGCACTAAATAATATATGTCGTTCTCCCGTTCACAAAAAATGACCTTGAAATATAGATGGCTGACCTTGAGGGGGATATGAAATAAAATGCTCTCTGTTACTGTAATTGCTTCACAAAAGGAAATAACTTTTACGTATCGTCAGAAACAATTCTGAATTAATTAAACCAATTCGTTCTAAACCGTTCTTAATTAAACCAATGAATAATCCCACGTTTAGGATAAAGACTGGATAATTAACCTCTACAAAATTCTAGATTCTCTCCTAAATATTTATTGACTCTCGTGCATTTATTGATTCTCCCGGATTTTCATATATGAAATATTATCGACGAAAACTAAGCAATCAGTGCTGCGACAAATTTCGATACGTTGAACTCGAATCAACCATAACCTCTTAAGAAATTTAATTTTTAAATCCACATATTAACGTTCATTACTACAACATTAGTGAACGTTGTAGAAAAAAAATTTGTTAACCCGCAAGGATTTCTCACAGATTTTTATCCGGTAACAACGAAATCCGAAAACCATTTTTCCTACGAAGAGAATTCCTATTTTCAATCAGTGGTTCACTCTCGTTTCCCGTTAATTATTAAACGGTACGAACAGTGACCTCGAACACGCGACACAACTAACAGCTAACAAGATCGACGGAAATATCGGTGCTGAATAAATTTCGCCCAGTAATCACTGTCATGGCTGCCATCGTCGCGCGAACGAGACGGTACGGGGGTACACACGAGCGACCGTACGGAGGACAGGTGACCTGCGGGGGTTGGTCGGCACGATACACAGATCTCTTTCGGTGTCTCGTACGGTACACTTACTTCGCGGACAGGACAAGGGGGTCTGTGTATCTGTGTCCTTGAGGCTCACCTTGACTCGCTGCAGATCAATGGGGTTCATGATAGTCCCCTGAAAGAACTCCACGGTGGTGAAGTGCCGCTTGAACAGTCCCTCTAGCTCGAGATCTGGTAGTTTCCTAAGTGGCACCGATATGGTATCTTTTATGAAAAAGGTTCACCTCTGACTGACCGGACTGCGTCCTTGAAGAAATGTCAAGGTCGCCGAACATCCCTTACTACAGCCGGCTCCCCCTTTCTCGGGGGAGAAAGGGAGAAATGGCACCTTGACACAGTACTGATTGAATTTTTCGCGGTACAATCGCGGATCTGTTAGGTTTCTAGGAGGCTATGGGAGGTCAGCCTCCCTCGTAGGCCATAGGATATGGGAGGTATACATGGTAACAAGGTCTAAGTAAGTCTCTACTGCACGTTGAGTCGGCTCCATAGCTCATTACCAGCATACCATGCAGTCGCAGGCGCTTGCTTTCTACTTTTTAATTAATTCGCTAGATTCCTGTCGAAACATACGTACATATGTACGAACCCACGCGCGTACCTATGTGCAAACCTATGCGTATGTAGAAAGAAATATGTACATTCATGTCTGTACTATATACATACCCCAAAAGTGTGAGGTTAAGGCTTTTGGAGTGACTGAAGTGGGGTTGTTGTCCACGCGATTTTTTAAGTATTCCATTTTTAAATTAATTTTACACGGTATTTTTTGAACACGTTACTCAACATTGGCGAGAACTTCGATATTTCGATAACGTATTGAATTCTGATAGATTTTCGGATTGAGAATCGCAGCGTTCTATGAGAATCCATTTCATTGGTCAACGAATTATCGAATGTTCGACGGTATTTCGAACGGAAAATGTCCTCAGTCACTTCAAAACAACGGCCCCACAGCCGAAATCTGCATGAAACAACGCTACACGGTGCCACGCAGTCATCTACACTCCAAGAATACCGAAAAATCTGCGATAATCGCATAATGCACTCTATTGAAATTCAAATTTCGCGCCAAGGCGACTAGTTCTACTAACGACCGCAGCGTGGCACGCGCGGTTCCGCGGTAACTTTGAAATAGAGCAGTAAGAAGATAGACGGAAGTACAAAAACAGAGTAATTACGAGAGCAAGAGAGATAGGTATATGTATATATATATAAAGAGAGACAGAGAGAGATAGAGTGAGAGAACAAGAGAGAAATATTACAGAAAAATCTAGAAAAAGTGAGAACTAAGTGTCGATATAATAATATCCCAACGTTGAGGTAGTATGCACCTAACTTCACAGTACTCGAGTCGCCATGTGTACGTGTGTGCGTGTGTGTATGCACGTGTGTACATGTACGTCTAGGCAAAGTTTGTAGGTCTACGACAAAATGGCGGTTGCTCCAGTGAACTTGCACGACACGGCACGACACGACGATGAATATGATAGGTTGCGGTTATGGTTGTCGCCGTGTGCGACCAATTCTCACAAGTGCCGTACGGTCGTTTATGTGTATTGGTCGCGTCCTGGAGGGAAACCGCGCGATAACCTAAAGTACTGCAAGGAAATGAAAAGCGCGGGCGGCCACGCGCGGAGCGATTTGATTGGCGGGTTCTTTGAGGTTGGTGGGGGTTATGGTGGGTGGTCTAGGGCGTGGGGGTACCTTGACGCGCTCCAGATCCACCGCGTTCATCATGGTGCCCTGAAAAAACTCCACGGTCGTGTAATGCCTCTTCAGGAGACCCTCCAATTCGAGATCTGGCTCTTTCCTGAAAACATAGATCACTCCTTACGACAATGGCGATCAGACCTAACTATAGCGACGTCCCGGACATCCCCATTCTTCTTCCTCTCGCCGACGATACTTCCTGCTGTTCCAGCTATTCGCATTGGCAACCCTGTATTTATTTTATATTCGCCCTGCATTTGTCGGGATCTAGATGAAATGTCATCTTCTAGGTTATGTTCACGCTTTATCTACCAGTGACTGGCTTTCGGCAAATGGCGTTCTCCGGTAGGTAAAGTGTTAACAATATCTCTCGTTAAAAAGGTTCCAATACGAAGAGTTCGTGTAAATTTACTTTAATCGAGGATTCAGTGAAAAATCTAGTCTGATCGCCATGGCGCGCTCGTCCACGAGACAAGTGTTCAAATGGGGCACCTACATAGACCTACGTTCACCCTATCACCACAGAAAAAAAACAAAAATTACTCTCACGTATCTCTCCTAACGATGTTCAAACCAATGACTGCGTACATCATTACAGTAGTAGACTTACTTAATTTCATATTGTTTACACGGGTAACGTTATAACGCTTAACGTAAACATCGGTGGAAGTATGTTACCATTTCGAAAAAAGAAAATTATTGCATGGACATATTAATCTTGGAAGGGGTTTAGAATGTGAGAATCGAGGTTAGGATGCCACGGGCGCTCTGCGTAGTCGTGCCGGAGTTGTTCCTTCCTCGGCCGGTAATTAGAGTGATATTGGAATTATATTATCATTTTAAGAGAAACGAAAGTACGATGTGTAAACTTGGAATGTGAGAAAGAAGGGTACCTCGGCGACTAGCACAATTGCGTCAGTGACATTCTTTGCTCGGTCAGTATAATTAGCAACAGATTTCATGCGTTCGTGATCTGAAATACTAAAAATTTTTCACCCAACTCGAATGTGAATGTGTAAATATTCACTCTCGCATGAATATTCTGCAGTTCAAGTCGAATACGATATAACAGTTGCATCAAAATATTGTGATGTTGGAACAGCTTTAAATCTTTGCATATTGAATTTGGTCCTGCTACAATGCTTCCGCGACTGCAGCCTGATTGGCTGTCGACCGTACGATCGCAGCCTGGATGGCGAATTTAACGTTCTTAGAAATTCAAGTTCAAAGTCAAAAAGCCTTGCAGTCGCGGAGTTATCTTTATATATTTAACCCTCGAATGTTAACAGCCGGGTCGCTGAAGACCCAAATGCGAAACGCAGATACTAACTTTAATCAAAAAAATATACTATTCCGTTTTTCTTGTATTTACTTGCAGAATACAATATTACCGGTGTGGATCGCTATTGACCCAGCCACCGGCCATCGCGTGCAATCACTCGAGGGTTAAAAGTCAGCATCGAAAGATGGTTTTAAACTGTTCGAACGTAAAAAAAGAAAAAATATGAATTACACAGAACCCTGTGAGCCGAAGGGTCGGGGGTCCAACGGCAAAAATAGTATGGTTGTTCATACCTATGCAAGAAGACAACCTCCACGTCAACATCCTCGCGGTCCTCGTGCAAAAAGTCCTTGAGAAAGTGCGAGACTGATTCGTAGGTGATGTGGCCACACACGACAATATGTCTGCCAACACAACGGACGAATTAGATTCCGCCCCCGGGCCGATGTTCAGTCGGCGTGTCGAACAAAAGGAACAAAAAAAAAAGTATAGAGAGAACCTTACAAGCAACTACCATGTACACGCTCTATATATGTAATTACACATGTTCTGAACCAATTAACGATTTCGTTACGTTCTTCTCTCTCCGTGTGCCGAGGCTACTGCTTTTTTTTCTTTAGTTTTTTTCACCGCTTTCCGTTTTTCGCTCGTTCTTTGCTTTGAACACCCGGTCCTTGAGAGCGAGCACTTGTGTCGCGATGCAACTCGAGGGCGTAAACGCAGCTGCGAATCGAAGAGAGAGAGAGAGAAAGAGATAGAGAGAGGCGGAGAAAGTTAGAGTTAGAGTGGTGTAGAGAGAGAAGGAGCGAGAAAGAAAAGAGTGAGAGATAGACAAAGATTAGAAAGAGAGAGAGAAAAAGAGAGAGAGAGAGAAACGTGAATATCGTTAAAAGATCGAAATTTTAGCTCTCTTTATGCCAGTTTAGTCTGCTGCCATAATAATAATATACTCGAGTATGGAAGTTCTGTGTCAGTTGTTCGAATTTCTCGAATGGATGCGGATGTAGTATATTGACAAAAAAAAGGTACAGAGAAGACAAAGCGAAAGAACAACAACAACAGGAGAATCCTCTGGCAATTTAAAGAAACATTGATCTACGAAAACTTCGCGTGTATCCGCCTGTAGATTTATATACACGTGAGTGTACATAAATTTACATTGGTAATATATATATAATTACATAAGTAATGGGCTAAACTTACCGGAATTGCGAGATAGGATTTGGTGTGTGAGTCGTTTTAACCAACTAGTGTGATCGAACAACTACACACAAGCGCCGCGCACACACACATACACACACAGACAAGAAATATATCTGTACTATACAAATAAATATAGAGAATAGAGAGATAGAGAGTGGAAAAAAAGATAAAAAAGGAGTATATAGGTTGAACAACGAAAGGTGATAAGAATTAGATAAAATAGAAAGATTACGGTAGAGTGCAGGCTCGTTCGTATACTCGATCCTTGCAGTCAAATACAAGCACAGAACTCATTTTCTTTTTTTTTTTTTACTAAACTCGTGTTAATTCTACGTGCGATTTATAGAAATATATATGTATGTATCGTATACATTAATTAAAGTAGTGGTTCTTACTGTTACAAGCGAGTCAGATAAACAGTGCCTAAAGGTGAGAAATCGTGTTATTGCGTCAACAAAAACTTCACCATGACCATTCCATGCTCCACTTTCTTCTACTCTGTAAATATATATTTAATGCGAGGCTCATCATGAACTCAGCAGACACCCTCTGTTTGCACGATCGACTGCTTTTCTTTTTTCTTTTCATTTTTTTTTCTTTTTGCTTTTAAGTTGCTCGATACCTTTCGCATTCCCGTTGTATCCGGCAAACCAGGGGCGTACAACGTGAGCTCACGTGCCACTGAATCCAACATGGGCCCAAACACATATACAATATACGACATGGAAGCCCTACGTTACAAAAGGTTCTTTACTTGTACTCTATCATACGGGACCGACGTTTCTCTGAACACAATGTCCAACAAATCTCAACATCTTTCATTGTATTGCCACAATTAATCGGCGATTCTCGTAGAGCTTGATATCCTGAAGACGAATCTGAAAAGTGTTACCCCTTATCGCCCTCAATTCTCGAGAAATTCAATTCTGAACAAAATGGTCTCGAGGTTAAGGATATTTTGTGCTTTAACCGCAAAAGCTATGCGAACATTCTTTGCAGAAAATGATTCTGCAGATTCTCCTAAATACGTCGATATTTTTAATTATCAAGTTCTGTCTCAGGCCCTTATTCTTCGAAATACAACGTGATACGTACCATTCGAACCACAAACCGTATTATTATTTAGAGAACATTGTTTATTAAGGGCGAGGGGAGGTTACAGAATCCTTCTCTCTAAGCAACATTTCCATAGCACTCACCGTTAAAACAAAAAAAATACATTAAATTCGAAAGCGCAGTATTATTCTCCAAGATTAACTTTCCCAAATACCAAGGCCAATAGAAAGAAACTGTTTTCTAGATTCATATTCAGCAGTTCGAGATCCACGAGAACCATCCACAGATCACGGAATACAAAGATAAGTGTTGGACAGTGGATATAGAAATGTCAATGATCGTGTAGTGTGTGTATGATATCGAAGTCACGTAGAGATCTACTCGATGATTCTACCCAATCGACGGAGGGGGTTCACGGTGTAATCCGGAGGACCTAGTTGCCCATGTATAGAGAGAGAGAAAGATAGAGAGACAGACAGAGAATTAGAAAGAGAGAGAGAGAGAGAGACCGAAAGAGAGAGATGTAGAAAAGAGAGAGAGAGAGAGAGAGAGAGAGAGAGAAATGGGTACCGACCGTCGAATATGCTCGGACGTTGTGTGTAAATCTCTAAACTTGTCAATTAAAAATACGTCTCGTTCGTAGAACAGTCAACCCCGAAAACGCTCGTTAGAGGTCTCACGTGTCGCGCGGTCATTTCTCCTCTACGTGAGACCACAGGCCAGAATACGCATCGTCAAAAAAAGCCACGCAACGCCACGCAACTGGACGAGAAGTTTCGCCTTGAAAAATGTTCATGGCAACGGTCGGTAAAATACATCCGATCAGTGACACCCTGTTGCGCTTCGGCTGCTACGACCAACGGTCACGTCAGAGGCAGTTTTCGAGTGTGTGTGGAAAATCAAGATGGCCGCAAACAATGAGTCGTTGCCAATAGAACAGCCGGGACCTTTGGCTTGAAACCGAAGAAGTATGTATGCTAATTCCGTTCGTTTACGATCGTCTGCTTTTACTCAATTGTTGGCTTCGTTGACGATGCTTTTGATTTTCGCGCGTCATTGAATGAAGATGGCCATCCCCGTTCTTATATTCGAATTTTCTTGTAGCGGTGTTTGATGATTGTACATGATTTTTGTGAATTGTGTATCACCGAAATAGTAATTTTCACTGTGTCAGAATACGCAACTGAACGTTTCTGCACATTTGAGGTGGATTTTGTGTTCAGCCTATATTTGTGTGCGCTTGCGCACTTGCATACAGAGTTCTGCGGCCATGTCTGCAAGGGACCGGCTTACGACGCATGGACGCTGGAAATTGGTTGCTGAAAAGCGACGAAATCTTCATTCCGAGAGAAATGATGATTTTCTGTGATTTTAGAAGTAAGTTTCAGGTTAACAGTCGAGTACCCAGTGACCCAGGTTATATGTGTAACCCAGGTATGTTCGGTGGCAATTAAGTGCAGTGAAAGTGACAGTTGAGTGCTAGATAATGTGATAGTTAAATATAATAAAAATGATAGTTAAATGGGGTAAGTATTTGGACTTCATGTAACTCTTAAAAACCTGTGCACTGCCGGATGCGCAGTGGAGCGTGGCCATTTGGATTTGGCGGGAAAATTCGAAACATTCGAAAACGTTTAATAAAATAGATGTAAATTTGTAAAAATTGATCACTGGGAAGGGATGATAGATGTATATCGTGACGAAGTATTGTTTCTTTTATCATTGTTATCGCTTTTTGATAAAAATTTATAAAATTCCGGAGAGTTATTGTGCTAATAGGATATATACTTCTCAATGTTTCAAGACCAAAGGAAATACTGACGGTTCTATCATCGATGACTTGGTTCGCGTTTAACCAGTGTTTGTTAGTATTCTGGTTGTTTCACAGAAAATATATTCGCACCGACACAAAGCCATGAATGATGATCCATTCGTAACGAACGTACACATAACACTGTCCAACGAATCTTAACTTTTCAAAGTTGGCGTACTTTCTAAAAGTTAAAATTTATTAGACGGTGTAATTACATCACTCTTCCCTAATCTAACTCGTTTGCTGGCTCACTGATAATCCCTTCATCAAACCTAAACTACGCATAACATGTCATGGTTAGCAATATACATATGCGTATACATACAGCTTTATATATGCGTACCAACATGTACATATATAAAGCGTATACAGGGTGGGTCGTTTGAACTGTTACAAAGAGTATCCTCTAATTACTCGAAATGGTCAGTGCAATTCGAGCTGATTTGCATAACAATATGACATGTTCAGTGTGTAAATGGTTGCTAGGTTAATTGAGAAGCTAAGGGAAAGCTAGAACTTCGCATGTGTTGTGACACCTTCGTTGTATAAATATAAGATATTTCATAACGTTTTAATAAACGATTGTGGTTGATCACCTAATAAGTAGAAACTATGACCTAAAATATGAAAACCAAAGTCGGCCACTGTATTTTTTTTAATACAGAAATGATATATCGAACACATAAATTTGTCTAATAACATAGACTATGTATTATTACACAGCAGTGTAACAGCAGCCCACCCTGTATGATACAACCCAAGGCAGAAGTTTACTTGTCCACTTTCCTTTCTTCAAGAATACACGTAAAAACGATAATCAATGCTGTCTAAAACATCAAGGTTATTACACACAAGGGTCGTGTTAGGTCATATGTATAGATATATATACATGTATATCAAGTAATATTATATATGCCGCGATATATAATATAATATGCCATATGGAACTGAACATATATACATATATATGGAGATACGACCTAACTCACATACGCATACTTACACACACACATATATATATATGTATGCAGTCGTACATGTTTGTATATATTTATGTGTGCAACATATGCATTCACTGTTGGATATGCGGGGTACATGCTGGACGTTGACCCTTTGCACTCGGAGAGAAATACAGCTCTCATATTAATCTGTCCTGTATATTCTAAAAAAAACCATCAAACGAAGATCAGAACCCAGAGCAACGAGTGACAATATAAGACGTCAATGTATACACGAAGTTACAGTGAAAAACAACTGAACAACTATAGTTGCTAAGACGCAATACACGTTTTACCGATAGATCCACTACGTGGAGGAATTGATCTAGCAACA